TACTCCCACGTAGGTATACTTGGTTTACCCATTTAATCCACAAAGAATCTTTCTTACAATGAATGTTCCAAAGTGTTTTGGAAAGAAGTGCTAAGTTCCATCTTTTGATGTCTCGGAGCCCAAGTCCACCCTCAACCTTAGGTAAGCAAATATTGCTCCGTGCAACCAATGGTTTCTTTGATCCCCAAAGAAAGTTGCGACAAAGAGATATGACTCTAGAAGTAACCATAGCCGGAATGGGAAAAATAGATAACCAAAAACATTCAACCCCTTGGAGTATGGCTCTCACAAGCTCTAGTCTTCCTGCATATGATAATGATGCCCTAGACCAAGCCCCAATATAGGCTATGATCTTGTTAATAAATACATCATAAGAACTGGTTTTCAACTTTCCCACCGCAAGAGGAACCCCCAAGTAGCGAAAAGGCAAAGATCCTTGGGAGATATTTGCAATCTCAATAATATAATCCCTTTCTTGCCCTTGAACTCCCACCATATACAAGTTAGACTTGTCAACATTCATCGTTAGTCCCGACATGTCACCAAAATTTGCTAAGCAATTCATCAAGATCTGAACCGAAGTAGTATCACCTCTAGCAAATAGCATCAAATCATCCGCAAAGGCCAAGTGTGTAATCTTTAGAGGAGCACATTTAGGATGGTAATTGAACTCAGTATTAGTGGTGGCTCCCTTCACCATTCTAGAAAAGTACTCAAGGCACAAAACAAATAAAAATGGAGAAAGAAGGTCACCTTGAAGAAGACCTTTCCTCCCTTTTATGAACCCGTGAAGGCACCCATTAAGAGCAATAGAGTATGTAGGCGTAGTAATGCATTCCATAACCCAATCTATGAATTTAGTTGGGAACTTCAAACCCTCAAGAACATTCTTAAGAAAATCCCAATTCACTGAGTCATACGCCTTCTTCAAATCAATTTTGAGTAGGCATCTTAGTGATACCCTCTTTCGATTATATTTCCTCACAAGCTCTTGAACAAGATGAATATTCTCTACCATGCTTCTACCTTCTATAAAGACAGCTTGGGCTTGATCAATGATGGACCCAAGTGTTGGCCCCAATCGAGAAGCCAGTATCTTAGTGATCACTTTGTAGAAAACATTACAACAAGCGATCGGCCGATAGTCATTCACCGAAGTAGCATGGTTAGTCTTAGGAATCAAAACAATAATGGTATGGTTCGTTTGCTTAAGGAGAGATCTAGAAGCAAAAAATTCATGAATTGATTCCATAAAATAATTACCAACAATATCCCATGCCTCCTTGAAAAAACAAGATGTATAACCATCCGGTCCGGGCGATTTATCATCTCCAATGCTAAAAAGGGCATCCTTAATTTCTTGTTCAGAAACATCCCTAGTAAGTGAAGTGGCGAGCTCCTCATCTAAAGTAGGACCAAACTAAAGATTTTCAGCCAAAAAAACAAGTCCATTACTGTCCCGTCCAAACAATTCACTGTAGAGATGAACAAACTCATCAGCCACCTGTTTTTGCGAAGAGGTATAAGAACCATCCCTTTTAAGTACAGCTGTAATAAAGTTCCTTTTAGTGTTTCTCTTCACAATCGAGTGGAAAAACTTTGTGCATTTATCACTATTCTTCAAATATGCACACTTTGCTTGTTGGAAGTAGAAACTTCTTTCCGCTCACTAAGATTTATGGCCTCTTTCCTCAATCGAGCAACCTCATTTTGTAGATGTAAATTGGTGGGATCATCATGCAAGACAAGCCGGGATTCCACCAAGGCCTTTTTTGCTACCTCGGCCCTTGATGAAATATGACCAAAGTGTTTAACATTTAACTCTTTAAGCACTCCTTTGAGACGTTGCAACTTCTTGCAAAGAGAGAATTGCTTAGTGCCCCGAATATATAGATTCCAAGTGCTTAGCACGGTCTCATGGAACTTCTTGTGCTTAGTCCACATATTGAAGAATTTGAACGGTTTCTTCTTGACCTCATCACATGTAAAAATAGAAACAATACAAGGTGAGTGATCATATAGGCATCCTGATGGTAAGAATTTCGTACTACTAGAAAAACCCATATGCATCCAAAAATCATTTACCATTGCTCTATCCAGTTTAGTCCAAACAGAATTGTTGTTCCAAGTGTAAAAACAACCAATAGATCTCAAGTCCGTTAGACCAACATTAAGACAACAATTAACAAAATCTTTTATCTCATATGTGGTAACATCAGCACCATTAATTTTTTCATCAAAATGCAATACATTATTGAAATCACCCATAATCAACCAAGGCAATGAATAATCCAAACCAAACTGCATGATATTATCCCATAATGGTCTACGACTAACAGTTGTATGAAGGCCATAGACAAAGCTAACAAATTTTTTTAAAGATGTTACCTTACAAGTAACGATGCAATGGATAACTTGCGAAGTAGTCTCCAATACCTCCAAGTTCAATTTCAAGGAGTTCCATAGCACCAAAATACGTCCAGCTCTATAAACTTCAAAATTATTAATTTGCAATAGGTTGCCAAACTTATTCCGCATGATTTGATCAATCGTCGACATCCCCAACTTAGTTTCCAAAATACCCAAGACATCAATGTTGTGTTGCCCAATAAAACTTCGAACACCATTTTGTTTGAGGGGAGTGTTCAGGCCCCTAATATTCCACGTGCCTAACTTCATGATGATGAAGGAAGGGAATTGCCCTTCTTCATAACCTTAGTTTTAGGTACTTTCCTTTGCTCATCCACTTTATCTTTGGGCTTCTTATTATTTCCAGTTTCGAGGCGGCCATTTTTATTATCATCAGGCTTAGAAATCACACCCTGCCCATCAGTTTTACCGTCTAAGTTTGACATGTGAATGTCATCATTGGTTGATGAACTACAAGCATTCTGTTTGAGAGATGCTTGGCCAGATTTCGCTACTTTCTTTTTACCAACGACCTGTATGAACGGCTGATCACACTGATTGACTTGCTGTCCATTTGCCGACCCCTACACATTAGAACCAGCCTGTGCATTCGAGACAACCGGGTTTGAACTGTTCTCATCGATCTGTCCAGTTTTTCCCACCTGATTTTGGTTCATTTGCGGATGCAATTGTGAATTCTTTATACTAGCCTTCTTATTGACATTGCAAGCTGTAGTAAGGTGCCCAAACATCTTGCAATTTCCACAGAATTTAGGCTCATGTTCGAACTCCACCAGTTGCACTCTAAATTTGCCTGTAGGTAGATTCATAGCAACTGACCGAACCAGCTCTTTAGACGCATCAATCTCCACTAGCACACGTGCATACGATAATCTGCCCTTAGTAGCAGTGAGTTTGTCTGTCGAAATTGGTTTCCCAATCTTGGAAACAATTTTAGTCAAAGCTCTAGGATTCCAAAAATCCAATGGAAGTCCCGGTAACTTCACCCAAACCGGCAAGGTGCAGATCTCATGATCATCAAATTCAAAACACTGGGGCATTACCTTAAACATTAAAGGTCGATTGAACACAAAATATGGGCCACCTTGCAGTACACGAGTCCTAGATGCATCATCATTAAACTTGAAAATCAACCATCCACTTCTATGGACAAAATATTGGAACTCGACCTTCCAAGAGTTGCACATAAGGAGGAGTGCCGTCTTCCCTGGAAAACGGCCAGGAAAATAGCCAACAAGACAATAACCCACTAATTGTTCAACATTATCCATGTCAAGAGCATCCAAAGTAATTACATCAGGTTGGTCCTCAATGGAATTAATTTGAAATCCTTCACCAGGATTCCTGTTGTCTTTAAATAAATTAACCCAAGGTGCAGCCTTATACTCACCACTGTTACTGCCATTTTTATCCTTAACAACAATAGATTGAGGTTCATCAGCTGAGCTTTCAGAACTCGTGTCCAGCTCCCCAAGAGGCTGTGAAACACTAAGCGAGTCGGTATCCTCACATAGTCCTTCCTTACCAAGTTGTTTATGTACTACAGAAGTCGAGGTCTCCTTAATGGGAGTAATATGCTTCACAGCCCCAATGTTTGATTGATCAGTAGATTGAGCTTTCGGCGGTCCCCAACAAATGCTAACTCTCTTGGCTGTGGTGGCCCAAATAAATTTTGAGTCCATTTCCATTCCAATTAAATGGGTCCAGTCCATGAGATAAATCCATTAACTTGGATCATGGCAATAATAGTACACATCCTATTTCAAGGTAATTTACTGGCCAACGACATTCCATGAGAAGGAGGACGTCCAATCCAAGAATCTGCTCTCTTTTTCTTTTGTGGAGAAAAGAGACGTACATTTAGCGGCCTAATCATACATGACACATCATTATGTAATCGATTCAGTGGTCTAGTCTGTACACGTGTCTCATCGACATATTTTATTCACATTACTATTTGAGTATTTGCCCATTAGAACACCCATGTTGCGACTCAACAAAATACTTGTCCACGTGATCGATATTCCTCTGGCGAACATCATATCAAATTTAGTGATTGCGAAGTGACAATGTTGGCCTTAATTATAGGCGAACCTAGCCTCCAAGAGAGCTCTCTAAAAACTTGTTATATATATTATTTAGAAATAATAAAAAAATCAAATAAATCTTAGAATCTTCAAAGGGCAAAATAAATTTTCAATATAGTCGCAACTTTTCATTTTGCTTATTCTTTTTCCTCGTTTTTTAGATTAACTCTTTGTTTTCTATCTTTTTTCTCTTGACCGTTTCTTTTCAAAGTGCAAAAAAAATATAAAATGTTTCCATTTGATTTCCGACGATCTGCTCTAATGAAATGTTACCATTTGGTTTCAGAAAATATAAACATACAATTTTTTTTATCTTGACATGATTTCAATCAAAGAAATTGTATTTGAGATAACTAGAATCCATATTCCATGTAAAACATTTCCTCCCTTAGTTTTTCATTACAACAATTTGAAGTATACTATTGCATAGTTATCCCGCAGCTAGACGATATCATATACGTACAAGTAATAAAAGAATATCGATTCCACGAAGACATAATCTACTTATTATAGCTTTGATGAAGAAACACATCCAATCATTTCTATTCGATTTTGATTTTATCTACTTGTTAACTAAAATAAGTAATTAACAAGCAACAAAGTCTTAGAAGACTAAGTAGAAATCAAATCCAAAATAAACTAAAGCTTCCTTTTAAGTAAGGAAGTATATCAAATAATTTAAATAGACATGGTTTTTATCACCTTATTATAAATGGCAATAGTTATTGGAGGCAAAATGTGATAGCTAACTAATTATTCAGGCGACTTTGTTCTTTCGAGTCTTCCCATTTTTGTAACCGACGCTGCGCGTTCTGCACCTGAAAGTTACACGAAGTGTTCGATTAAATTGAGAATTGGCAAGAAGACTCGGATTGGTTCTCTTTGCTCTCTACAAATTTCTTATCTTATTTTAACTAAATTTAAATATTTATAGTGAAAATTCAAATATAATTACACTCTAAGGTACTAAAATCTTAATGGTTAATATAAAATATAAAACAATGTGAAATAGGTACCTCCTTTTTCCAGTCAGTCCGAATCGTGACCCATAATAAGATTATGGTCTGCAGGACTGTGCCTCCCAGCATGCCTAACCATATTCCCTGCAACTCACAATTAAAACAAGATTTTAAAAATAAAATTAAAAATGTTCTGAAAAATTTGTTAAAGAGTCAAGGCAGAGGTATTTGTTTCCCATTATGTCACATGCATTTAAGGGTCGTCATCAACTCAGATTTTAATGGATTTTAAAAAAGTATAAATTCTAACGAATTTCTTGAATTTGAGTAGGTTCACACATAATCCCATTAAAAATTGTGAAATTTCAAAACTTAAATGTATTTTTAAGGTTGAAATCCTTTATTAGTGAAATCCTAGTAAATCAACAAATTATTTATGATACCTAATTTTAAAGAAATTTTTAAAAACCTCGGTCGAAAACATTAGCTTGTTTGGTATAACTATTAAGTCAATTAATATCAATTTTTTGTCCGTTATTTCACTATTCCAACCATCATTTTTGAATTATTCTCTCACAGATAGGACCCACTTTATCTCTAACGGTCAAAAAATCAATTATCAAAATCCTTATCAAACAAACAAATTTTAGCCCTTGTTTAAGCCCCATTGTGGGGGAAAATTAAATTTTTGAACAGAATATTGATGGAAAATGTGTTATTAAAAAAATAAAAAATAAAAATTAAATTTGTTTGTAATATTATTTTATCAAAGAATGTGTAATTGAAATAATGTCAAAATACTATTAAAAAATGTATTTTTTTTTTTTACAAAGAATGGGACTCAAACAAAGGTAAAAAAGGTGAACATTTTAAACCACTCATTTAATATTAGTACTCATCACTATTATCCGCACACTGATCTCCACCGCTCCTCCTAAGAAATTACTAATAATCGTTCTCAAAGATAGGAATGTGTTCCCTATCACAATAAATGCAAAATTCAGAGTGATGTACCTTTGCTCCAAAGTGGAATACAAAGCCAAGAACTGCGCCCACTGGAATGCCAACCATGTAATAACACCCAACATTTATATAAGCAACAAATGCTTGCCATCCACACCCGACAGCAACACCTTGTATTGTCAATTCAATCCACGTATACGTGTGTCAGAATCAGGCATGTGACGAAAGTTAAAGTTGCACAACATGAGGCTCATGCTGCCCTAGTAAAAGTTGGAAATTAGCACGTGAAAGAACGTTTTCTCACCGGACAAAACAGGTTGAACGCCATTAAGAATAATGGAGACGGCCATAAGTGGTGTAAGGTCTGAGACAGCATCAGAGACAGCTTTTCCGCCGGTGAAGATGTAACTTAATTGATGGCGAAGCGCAAGTGACACAACGGCAAAAATCACTGATATTATTAAGCAGCTCACTGTCACAACCACAACAGAAAATGCAGCTGACTTTGGATGTCCAGCTCCAAGCTCATTGCTAACCCGCACACTATACACAAATTCAATGTTAACCAAATAATTATTATGAGCAAAAGTAATTCAATTCTTATCCCGTTTGGACCTGTTAATTTTCATTCTATTATGCCCTCGTTTGAAGTTCATTAATTTTCATTTCATTAACTTTTATTTCTCTCTCTCTCTCTGAATTTCAACCACACAATCTTACGTAAAAATAATATCAAACGTAAATCGAAAAAATTTTCTTATTTTTCAATCACTCATTTTTTCAAAACAGAAAAGTATGATTTCACTCATTTTCATTTCCAACAAAATGGCGGGGCCTCAGCGAACGATTGAAAAATGAGAAGAGAAAAAGCACATGATAGCTCATGTCAAGACTTTCTTTTTTGTTGATAGTCACGAGAGTGCAAAAATTTGATTTTTTGGTCAAATCATGTGGAACCCACCGCCCACGATGTTTATTTAAATTATTTTTTTAGAGTGTTTAATAATCATTTTTTTGTAAAAATACATTTTGAAATAATAAATTAATGTGAAATGTATAGTTAAAAAATAAAAAAAAATTAATTTACGTGCAATATCATTTTAATAAAAAATATGTGGCTAAAAAAAAGAGAAAAAAATATATTTTAAAAAAAATGACTACCAAACAGGACCTATAACTATTTCAGACAAAGCCAATTTTGTCCTTAGTATGCGAGTGAAGGTGGGCAAAAAAATAATTACAAAAAATATGTATGCTAAACGGACCCTATTATTTAGATTTATAATTGGAGAACAGTGTTTTTTGAAAAATTGATGGTTAGATAAAAATAAAAAAAATTTCGATTTACGTGTAATATTATTTTATTGAAAATTATGTGGTTAAAAATAAAATAAAAATTAAATTAAATTGAGGCTTATAATCCTGCTCAAACTTTCATATTCTAGGTTCAAATTTTTTTAATTGAAACAATTCCTATAAAATTTATCAAAGTGTGATAGTTTTGCCAAAAAGCTCCACCATACAGGGGCTTAGTAAAATATTTTAAATGGCCTTTTCATGTGGGAATTATGTACAGTTAAGCCTCCATTTGACAAAAAGGTAAAATTTTACTAACCTTGCAGCAGCATTGAACCCAACGGCAACCATGTATACCCATCCAACGATTGTTACACTACATTTTAATTTATTAATTGTTCAGAACGTGAAATAATTTTTCAAGTAGACTAGAATAGACTGCTCAAGTAAACTTTGGCCTTACCAAATGGATATGGAGTCTAATACCAGTTCAGGATGGGGAAGCAACCCAGCAATGAGAACCAAAATCTGAAAATACCAAGTCTCAAGGCACAACATCACAGCAGAGGCAGAAGATAGTTTGAAAAAATCCCACAGCCCAGAAAACGCCATCCAATCGAATCCAGTCCATGTAAGTTTGCATTTATCACTAAATAAAATATATATAAATTGTCCTGCCACTATGATCCACCAAGAAAAACTCAACACCAATCCTGCACCCAACAATCCCCAACCCAACACGAACAAAGCCAGCCATGTCAAGAAAACATGCAGTACCAGTGCTGCTGCAGATATATAAGCACTGGGATTCACTATACTTTGTGCCTGCAGGAACTTTTGTATGGGAAAATTTGCAGCGTACGCGAAAATCTGAGGTATAAGGCCATAGATGAACAAAGCTGCTGCAGATGCAAGGCTTTTTGATTCACCTAGCAACATCAGAATTGGCTTGGAGAATAGATAAATTACCATCAATGGTAACCCAGAAAGTACAAGGAGGATTGTTGATCTTTGCATGTAAATCCCAAGCATCTCGTATCTGTGAGCTCCATACGCCTGCCCAGCCAACGTTTCTACTGCACTTCCCATTCCTAGCTGCTCATTACAAGAACGAAGACGATAGTTAAGCTATAATTGCGTAATTGTAAAAGTACCTCAATTTGAGGGGAAAAGAGGTACAAGTAGTGAAAGATTCAGAATTACCAACCATGATTCCATAGGCTAGAAGTTGAACACCATTGTTGCCAAGAGAAGTGGCAGCAAGTTCAAGATTGCCGAGATGGCCACAGAAGATCTGAGTGGACATTGAAATAATATTATTGAGCAAGTATACTATAACCGCAGGAGCTGCAAGGATGTAGAGAGTCCTCAACTCGACCAAAACGGCTTTCCTAAAGCGGCGCCAACACGACAAGCTGGCGTCGGATAGGATATCTTCAAGCTCAGAGCTAACCTGCTCCCCGGCCTCCACTGGCGGTGGAGATAGTTCTTTTGAATCTAACAACGGATGATTCACCATTTTTTCTTTAAGCGACTCCATTTTTTTCCTCTAGGATTCTAACAATTAGAAGCAACAAATCAAGAAGAGCAGTGGCCGCAACTTAACGAGGACCTCAATGTCGAGGCCAAGAAACAAGGAATTCAGTATTTTTATACAAGCAAAGCTGTTAATGCAATCCTGAGCCCTGATACACACAGATCCCAAGCCAATAGGAGGGCGCCACGTGCGCCGCATCCCTGTAGAAATAACCTTTAAATCCTACCTCTTCATAAAGTAAGAAAATCTGTTTGGTAGTGAGATTATATTAAAATAATCATCAAAATGGTAATTCCGAGCAACGTGGTTCCCGTGTAGGGCAACATAAAGATATATTATTTTTTGGAAAGAAGCGTCGTACACTTTATCTCCATCTTCCAAATTTGTGGCCGAGTAGGTGGTAGTGGGTAGGAAGATGGGTAGTTGGGAGATTTTAGCCTTATTTGAGAGGGAAAAAATGCATTCTCAAAGAATAATTTTTAAATAATGTGTGGTTAAAATCCGTTTGATTTACATTTTTATCAAAATGTTTTTTTTCTCATTTTTTTAATCACACATTTTTTATTAAAATAATATTACATGTAAATCAAATTTTTTTTTCTTCTACACATTCTCCATCAATCTACTATTCTAAAATTCATTTTTCCATAAAAATTGGTATCAAACACCATCTTAAAAGTTAAAAAAAAATTTCGATTTAAGTGTAAATATTATTTTATTAAAAATGTGTAGTTGAAAATAAATTTTTGAAAAAATAAATTTTCAAAAAAACGGAGCCCAATTTTTAATTCGAGATTGTACTTTTTATAAAAATTTGAAAATACGTTTGCAATTAATTCTTTATTTTTCTTCCTTTTAAAAAAAAAAATTAAAGATGCGACATATTCGTCGTCTCACAAGGCTTTTGTCATGAAAATGGAAGAAAAATATTATCTATTGCACTTAAAAGATCATCCGGGGTTTTTCTTCCAATCTGAAAGGATATAGGATATTTCATGACAGAGGTAAAGGTTGGAAGGTTTTGTGCAAATGAACCTAATTCTTAAGTAATTATTTGATTTATTGTTTTTTTTTTTTTAAATATGATCTTAAGACAATTGAAATTTTTATTTTTTGTTTATTCCTCAAGAGTTCTTTCACCTTGTGAAAAAGAAACACCCAATGGAGATAATAAGTTCCCGTTTGATTATTTGAGAAAAACAATATTTTAAATGGTAATTTTTTGAATAATATGTGGTTAAAAAGTAGGAATTAATTTTTTTTTTACGTGTAGAATTTTTTAATGTGTATTTGTGTGTTTGAAAATGAATATACAGAAAAAAAAATTAAAAAAATGAGAGAATTTTCGAATAATGATGATCAAACAAGAGCTAAGATATCATTATGCGTTAACTGCCTTTTCGTTACTACTTACTAATTTCTATGTTTTGATATTACCATTAGTTACTAGGTTTTATGTTTTAGGAAATCCAAATTATGCTCTCTCTTTTTAACAATATTATGATGTTATTGTTCTAAGTTTAATACTTAAACTGTTCTAATTATCATATTAAATTTTCTAAATGTTTTGTGATGACCAATTTATATATTTGGAAGTCACAACAAAAATCATATTTTTATTTACCGCTTGGTTTGAAATGTTTGAAATGATAAAATTATCTACTATTAAACAAATTGAGTAATTTCAACAGCTAAAAAGGGACATCTAAACAAGTAGAATCCAGGGATGGATCCAGACGACTTGGATTAGGAGGTCAGAAATAAGAATTATAGGTATCTTCTAATAAAAAAAAGTTAAACAAATTTATTTATTTATTTTCAAAATCTAGAGGGTCAATTGACCCTGTAAACCCCCCCCCCCTTCCCCAGATCCGTCCCTGGTAGCATCAATATTTTATACTGATTTTACCACGATATAAATTAGATGATTAAAATACATGCATGGGGGAATGCACGATAATTAATTTTTTCCCTGAAAAAGCAAGTTTTGTTTAAATATTGCATGGTTGTGCCCTCCCGACCAATATATCCTTCAACTCAAACTAGTTTTTAAAATTAACCGAGCAAAATGAGAGAATGAGATTGGTGACAAGTATATATTTCCAAACGTTGCCAGCACGTTGTTCATCATGCATAATAAACGGAGTTTGGTTCTAAACTTTTTTTTTTTTTTTTTTTTTTTTTTTTAA